TCCATGCTGGCTACAAGAGACTCACTTTAAATACAAAGACATGAATATTTTAAAAACAAAAAGGACAGAATATATTCCATGCAAATAGTAACCAAAAGAGAGCTGTGATGGCTATAATGATATCAGATAAAATAGTTTACAAGAGACAAAGACAAAATATATCAATAAAAGATTCAATATAACAAGAAGATGTAACATATTACATGTTATAAACAATTACAACCTAATAAAGACCCTCAAAGTAAATGGAGCAAAAACTGACAGAACTAAAGAGAGAAATAAGCAGTTCTATAATACTAGTTGGAGACTTCAATACCCCACTTTCAATAGTAAATGGAACAGCCAGTCAGAAAGTAAGTATGAAAAAACAGGTCTTAAATATCACAACAAACCAACTAGACCTAACAGGCATATATGGAACACTCCACCCAACAATAACAACATACACATTCTTCTCAAGTACACATATAACATCCTTCAGGAGAGACCATATATAAAGACCACAAGTCTCAATAGATATTAAAAGATATACAAAGTATCCTCTCCAATCACAACTGGATGAAGTTAGAAATCAATGAAACAGGAAAATTCACAAATATATGCAAAGTAAACAACACAATCTTAAACAACCAATGGGTCAAAAAGAAACCACAAGGGAAATCAGAAAATACTTAAAGAGATCAATGAAAACACAATATACCAAAACTTAGAGGATGCAGCAAAAGCAATGCTCAGAGGGAAATTTATACTGAAAGATCTCAAATCAATAACCTAAGAGCAAACTAAACCAAGATCTAGCAAAGAAAGGAAATAAAGATTGAAGATAAACAAAATAGAGAATATTAAAAAAATAGAGAAATGGACAAATTCCTTGAAATATCCAAATCTACTAAACTGACTACAAAAGAAAAGAAAATCTCAACAGACCTTTAGCAAGTAAAGACATTAAATCAGTAATAAAAAACCTCCCAACAAAGTCCTGAAACCAGATGGCTTCACTGATGAATTCTACCAAACAGTAGAAAAATTAACACCAATTTTTCTCAAACTGTTCCAAAGAATTGAAGAGGAGGAAACACTTCCCAATTCATTGTATGAGGTCACAATTACTCTGACACAAAAGCCAGATAAAGACATCACAAGAAAGGAAAATTACAGACCAATATCCTTCATGTATATAGAAGAAAAAAATCCTCAACAAATATTAGCAAATCAAAGCCAACAGCATATTAAAAGGATTATTCACCATAATCAAGTGGGATGTATCCCGGGAATGCAAGTATAGCTCAACACAAGAAAATCAATCAATGGAATACATCACATTAATAAAACCACATAATTACCTTAATTAATGCAAAAAAGGCACACTTGACAAAATTCAACGCCTGTTCATAATAGAAACTCTCAGAACACTAGGAATAAAAGGGAATATGATAAATATTCCTCAATATAATAAAACATATTTTTAAAAATGATAAACCCCACAGCTAACATTCATACTCAATGGTAAAGAATGAAAACTTTCCCTATAAGATCAGGATGACAAGGATGCCTGCTTAAACTTGCTACTCGATGTTGTACTGGAAATTCCAGCCAGCGCATTTAAAAGAAAAAGATATAAAAAGCATGGAAATTGGAAAGGAAATGGTAAAAGTATCTCTACTTGCAGATTACATGACCGTGTGTGTGTGTGTGTGTGTGTAGAATCCACACGAAACCTAACAGAGATAATAAATGAATTTAGCAAAGTTGTAAGGTACATCTAAAATCCTAAAGAATCCACACGAAACCTAACAGAGATAATAAATGAATTTAGCAAGGTTGTAAGGTACAAGATCAACACAAAAATCAGATGTTTCTACACAGCAGCAACAAACAATCCAAAACAGAAATCAGAAATGCAATTCCATTTACAATAGCATCTAAGAGAATAAAGTACTTGGGAATAAATCTTTCCAAAATTTAAAGATTTATATGCTGAAAGACTATAAGGGTTAAAAGAGTTTATATGCTGAAAACTACAAAACAATACTGAAAAAAAGTAAAGACCACCTAAATAAATGGAAGGACATCTGCTTTCAAGCATAGGAAGACTCAACATTGTTAAAATGTCAATACTACCTAAAGTAACCTGTAGATTAAACACAGTCTCTCTCAAAATTCCAACAGCCTTTCCTGAAGAAATGGAAAAGCTGATCCTCAAATTCATATGAGATTACAAGCAGCCCCAACTAGCAAAACAATGTTTAAAAACAATAGAGCTGAATAACACTTTCCAACTTCAAAACTTACTACAAAGCTACAGTAATTAAAACAGTGTGGTACTGGCATAAAGACAAACAAATAGACCAACAGGCTAGAATAGAGTCTCAAACCCTCACATATATGGTAAACTGATTCCCAACAAATTGCCAAGACCATCCAATGGAGAAAGAATAGTCTTTCTAACAAACAGTGCTGAGAAAACTGGGCATACACATGTGAAAGAATGAAATTGGACCCTTACCTACCACCATATATAAAAAGTAACTCAAAATGGATCAACAATCTAAATGTAAGAGTTAAAACTATAAAACTCTTAGAAGAAAACAGAGGAAAATCTTCACATAGGTAAAAGAAATATTAAGTTGACTCCTAAAGACTCCTTGATAATTTTTTTTCAGTTTTCTTCTTTTTCATAAGCAGAGCTTTCATCACCAGATGGCACCCATGCACCTGCATCTCTGGCCAACTTACATTACTTTAGTGGAAGAAAAAAAACCTCTTATTTCTAATACATAGTAATATTAGAACAAACAAAAAAATTACTCAAGATGGTAGCTTCTATTTCTGAGTACTGTAAAAGTCACTTAATAAGAAAAATGGGCTCCTGACCTTGCCAAATCAAGGACTGTACCTCATGGTAACACAAATCGCATGATCTCAAAACATGGGAATATAATCAACTTTTCATGAAATACGTAACATATTTTAAGCCTGACCTACAGGAAGGGGTTTTTTCACCAGACAAGCAATAAAACCTTGATGAATGTGTTCATCCCACATCTTGTCCCGATCCTCAGCTGCCAGAGGGTAGCCAGCACTGTCCCTCCATACTCACTGCCCTCCCGCATGGCCTCTGAGGAGCTTCACAGGATTCAGCATCAGAGAGCTTCGGAGGCACCTACAGAACCTGGCCTTCTTAAGGATTAAATACTTCTTAGAAGATGGACTAGAAATGGATCATTAGAAATTACGTTTTTACTTAGAAAGAAGTCCAACCTTCAAAACACTTTTAGGATATAATTCAATCAGAACTTGAGGACTTCTGTAGGCTCAATTACCAGCACTCTGCTTTACTTTATAGTTACCTAAATATTTATCTTATTTTTCTACTAAGTTTCATGAAGAAAGATTATCTTTGTATGACCTACAATAAGTACTACACCTATCACTAAAAAGGTGCCTGATACTTCTCAGCTGTGAGTCCTCAACCATATTAAAACTAAATATATTCCATTTTTAATGACAGTCATTAATTAGTAAAATGATTACTATAACAGAACAAGGTCCTTAGTCCAAAATTAAATGGCCACAGATTGACGTATTTATAAAACTTATTAACTATCACATTTTGACAAAAATCAAGATGACGAATAGATGCTGTCTTTCCTCCTTCCTAATTTGCTACCTCTAATTGGTTGGGGGCTGGAAATCCATTAACTAAATATACTAAGATTATATAACTCTGCACTGCTGACTACACATACACGTTGATGATTACATGGTATGAGTAAGCGTCCACAGCACTGTCCTAGAATGAAAAATCCAGACACTGAACACCCATCATGGCCAGCAAAGAGAAGGGGCTTTGTACTTTATTTGTGCACAACTGGTTCTTCAGCTGAGTTGCAAATTCTTGAAGCTGCTGAATAGACAACTTCTGGATAAGTAAAATATTCCTGTATACAATAAAGTACTATACTGTAGAAAATAATCACTATAATAGGAGTTCAGACAAATTAATGTAGTTTAGAGTCATTAGAAAGTAAACACAGATTTGACCTAAGACTGGAAAGATGGTTATAATCTGGATTAAGGAAGAAGTGAGAGAAAAAGTAGAAACAGGGATTTGTATGAGAAACACACAAGAGTAAAAAGAGATAGATAACATGGATCCAAACTATAACCACTTTAAAGACTATCAATTTGAAACACAGAGAATATTATATATAAGAAAAACCACTGTAATATGATTAATCTGGTGGTGGTAAGCATGACAGAGTAGTAAAAATACCACAGATGGAGCAACAAATCAGACATTTGGTAATAAGTACCCTGAACCTGGAACAACAACTAAAGGAAATAAACAGGAAAGAACAAATCTAAGACACAGGCCTGAGGATTTAGTTCTTCTGAATTTCATCTTCCTTAAAAATGACAGTCCTATCACTTGCTGTTTTAATACACTCAAAGGATTACTGTGAAGGTAAAATGACTATCTCTTTCTATAAAAAAGCACACACGCTCCTTCTAAAGAGCAAAAATCACTCTATAATCCAGAGGCATATGTTACTAAGAAGGGGGCAATGAACAGGTAAGAGTCAGAAATTACTCTAATTGGCTCTAACATTCAAGCACAGGAAAATTGGGTGTCATTAATAAACAGAAAAAAACTGAAAGAATTAAAAACAAATATGCTTGAGCAAGGTAAAAGATGATTAGATTGCTTTTTTATTTAATGACTGAACATTGGGCTAAAGAACTTTACAAATAAACAATCTAAATGCCAGTCATTAAATATTTAAATGTAACAAAATGTATACAATTATACATTTAATATAATCTTAGTGATATCAAAAATACAAACACATAGAAACATTACTAGTAGTGATTTTATGATTTTTCTGTTTTTCAGAAGTCAATAATTGTTTCTTTGGAAAAAACTGACATTGCACAAGCACAAAAGACTCTTTATTCTTTTTCATGGAAAATCTAAAGAAAAATGCATATAAACTTACTCTGCTATGATCTGGAACAATAGCCTTCAAACTTTCTGCCCTTCCTTTCTCAATTCTACAAGTACTAGAGGAAAATGGTAACACACAATCTACATGCCTTCTACTATTTCCAGCACCTATGGAATTACCTGAAAAATAAAGAAAAAAAGTTCATGGAACAATGTCAGTTTGAGTAATCTAATATAATATAACTGCTTCTTGCTAGTCAAATTATTTTACGTAAACTTAATACTTACCATTCATATGATGAACTTGACAATTTGCATACCAGAGAAAATAAGCACAGGTAAAAAGGCAACAATAAACCTGATAATCTGTTACCATACAGAGAGAATTGATTTCTAATTCTCAAATGTCTAATAGAATACAATCATTAATAATAGTCAATCTAAAAAATATGTATTACACTATTTCTAATAATACCAATTTACTCAGGTATTATTAAAAGCTCTTTTGAAAAGTTTTAGACTATCTAAAGATTTAGGGAGACAGAAAGGTTAATATATGCTAAATCATACCAAAGAAATGAATTTTTGTAAAAAAGGTAAAGTCAAACATATAATTTAAGAACAAAGGAATCATATTTCAATACTTACGGGTCCCAGGTGGACAAATTATATGGTCTTCCTCGGACTCACCGTGAGTCATTTCAGAATTTCCTGAGGAGTGTGAACCATGGGAAATCAGAGAGCTGTTATTTTCTGACTGAAATCTACGGTTTAGGCTGTTTTCATTTGCCTGTTGAAAGATTACCTTAGCTGTATTAAACAGTAGGGAGCAGAGAGTGCTTTACAGAAGAACTGCCGGTAATAAATGCAGAAAGAATTAGAAAAATCACCATTGTAACCATCAGTATAGTAACTGTTTCCAGGAGGCTTCAGCAATGATACTAACACCAGTTCATGAAGGGTTCTTGGGGAATAGGATGTTCAAATGACCTTGATGTCTCAAAGGGGGAAAGGTACCTTCAAAAGGAGGCATCTGGCTGACATCACCTCAACCAAAATTATCAAAAACAGCCTCACATTGGGACAAACAGACTTTTATGTCTCCTGATAGAGGCTGTGAGAAGGACACAATTTCTCCCATGTTNAAAAATGACAGTCCCATCACTTGCTGTTTTAATACACTCAAAGGATTACTGTGACGGTAAAATGACTATCTCTTTCTATAAAAAAGCACACATGCTCCCTCTAAATAGCAAAAATCACTCTATAATCCAGAGGCATATGTTATTAAGAAGGGGGCAAAGAACAGGTAAGAGTCAGAAATTACTCTAATTGGCTCTAACATTCAAGCACAGGAAAATTGGGTGTCATTAATAAACAGAAAAAAACTGAAAGAATTAAAAACAAATATGCTTGAGCAAGGTAAAAGATGATTAGATTGCTTTTTTATTTAATGACTGAACATTGGGCTAAAGAACTTTACAAATAAACAATCTAAATGCCAGTCATTAAATATTTAAATGTAACAAAATGTATACAATTATACATTTAATATAATCTTAGTGATATCAAAAATACAAACACATAGAAACATTACTAGTAGTGATTTTATGATTTTTCTGTTTTTCAGAAGTCAATAATTGTTTCTTTGGAAAAAACTGACATTGCACAAGCACAAAAGACTCTTTATTCTTTTTCATGGAAAATCTAAAGAAAAATGCATATAAACTTACTCTGCTATGATCTGGAACAATAGCCTTCAAACTTTCTGCCCTTCCTTTCTCAATTCTACAAGTACTAGAGGAAAATGGTAACACACAATCTACATGCCTTCTACTATTTCCAGCACCTATGGAATTACCTGAAAAATAAAGAAAAAAAGTTCATGGAACAATGTCAGTTTGAGTAATCTAATATAATATAACTGCTTCTTGCTAGTCAAATTATTTTACGTAAACTTAATACTTACCATTCATATGATGAACTTGACAATTTGCATACCAGAGAAAATAAGCACAGGTAAAAAGGCAACAATAAACCTGATAATCTGTTACCATACAGAGAGAATTGATTTCTAATTCTCAAATGTCTAATAGAATACAATCATTAATAATAGTCAATCTAAAAAATATGTATTACACTATTTCTAATAATACCAATTTACTCAGGTATTATTAAAAGCTCTTTTGAAAAGTTTTAGACTATCTAAAGATTTAGGGAGACAGAAAGGTTAATATATGCTAAATCATACCAAAGAAATGAATTTTTGTAAAAAAGGTAAAGTCAAACATATAATTTAAGAACAAAGGAATCATATTTCAATACTTACGGGTCCCAGGTGGACAAATTATATGGTCTTCCTCGGACTCACCGTGAGTCATTTCAGAATTTCCTGAGGAGTGTGAACCATGGGAAATCAGAGAGCTGTTATTTTCTGACTGAAATCTACGGTTTAGGCTGTTTTCATTTGCCTGTTGAAAGATTACCTTAGCTGTATTAAACAGTAGGGAGCAGAGAGTGCTTTACAGAAGAACTGCCGGTAATAAATGCAGAAAGAATTAGAAAAATCACCATTGTAACCATCAGTATAGTAACTGTTTCCAGGAGGCTTCAGCAATGATACTAACACCAGTTCATGAAGGGTTCTTGGGGAATAGGATGTTCAAATGACCTTGATGTCTCAAAGGGGGAAAGGTACCTTCAAAAGGAGGCATCTGGCTGACATCACCTCAACCAAAATTATCAAAAACAGCCTCACATTGGGACAAACAGACTTTTATGTCTCCTGATAGAGGCTGTGAGAAGGACACAATTTCTCCCATGTTTAATATGAATCCACCCATGAAAAAAAATGTTTTAGGGCCGGCCCGGTGGCGCACTGGATAGTGCGCTGCTTGGGAAGCGCGGCGGCGCTCCCGTCCGAGGGTTCGGATCCCACATACGGACCGGTTCCCGCTCACTGGCTGAGCGGGGCGCGGGAGCAACACCGAGGGTTGCAATCCCGTTGCCGGTCCCCGGTCCGGTACGGGGGCAACACTGAGGGTTGCGATCCGTTGCCGGACACGGAAAAAAGACAAAAGACAAAAAAAAAAAAAAAAAAAAAAATGTTTTAATCTGATCTAATCAGGAGAAAGGAAGCAATGAGATACATCTAGGTTATGAGTCATTATACAAAACAAAGAGCCTAGACTTTATAAAATGTTTAATGTCATGAAAGAACTACTCCAAATTAAAAGAAAATAAAGAGACATGACAACCAAAGGCAAGTGTAATCTTTGATTAAATTCTGGATCAAAACCAATAAAAATAAAGGACATTTGGGACAACTGGGTAAATCTGAATATGGACTGCATATTAATTTAAATTACCGTATCAAACTGAGATAACAGAAATTGTGATTATGTAGGGAAAATTTCCTTATTTGCAGGAGGTAAGTGCTGAAGCACTGGGGTAAAATGTCATATTATCTGCAACTTACTTTCAAATAATTCACAAAAGAAAGTACTTACGGAGGGAGAAAATGCAAAATGAAAATGAAAACACAAAGGTGGCAACACGTTAGCAATTGGTCAATGTAGGTGAAGGGTGTATAGACATCCATTGCACCATTCTTTTCATTTTCTGTAAGTGAGGGAAGGCTAAGAGGAAGTAGAAGTGGCAGGGGGCATTCATATCATCAATTCATATCTCAGAAAAACAGTCCCAAGAAAACCAAAAGTTTAAATTTAATGTTAACATCCAATCAGACCACTAGTAATTTTCTAATGTCAGATTCCTGAAAAACTGTGAAGATTAGAACATACCTGACTAGAATCACTTGTAGGTAACTTAAAATCTTTTTCTGGAGGTTCCTGTCCTCCTAGGTCTTCATATATCATTCCTGGAATTGCCAGCTGTTCAAAATAAGCCTCCAAATGATCATCATAAAACATTTCATCATCAATATCATCATCTATTGATAAAATAGAGAAAAAAATAGGTAGAACAGGCTTTAAAGAAGTGACTGAACTACAAATAATTTTTAATCAAAAAGGCTAAGCGTGGTGCTGATAACACCAAGGTCAAGGGTTCAGATCCCCTTACCAGCCAGCTGTCAAAACTTAAAAAAAAAAAAAAAAAAAAAAAAAAAAAAAAAAAAAAAAAAGGCTGATAAGACATAAGTGAGTTAATAAACTATATGATTTCTTTCTACATTTAACATGAGAAAACTATTATAACTTTAGTCAATTATAAGTCATTATAAACATTTTAATACAAGCTAAATATTTAACCTCTTTGACAGGACAAGACAGAAACAGATCCTAGCATATTATCAAAACTTAGGATATGATAAATGTAGCATCATAGATCAAAGGGAAAAGAGCAGACTATTCAGTAAATGATACGGCAAAAGATTAACTCTGTCCAAAAGAACAGATAAGCCTATCATAGGAGAAGTAAAAAGGGAGGGAGAGAAGGAGGGAGACACTGCAGTGGTTTTCAATGTTGTGTCACCCCGCTTGGCAAAGGCAAAATAAAAGAAAAACTCTAAATCACAGTAATGGTATTATAAGTTGGCACTGACTTTTTGGAGGTTAATTTTGCAGTTAATATTAAGAGCCTTAATAAGGCTCATAAGCTTTGACTTAGCAATTTCACATCCAAGAATCTAACCTACTAAAACAATCAAAAATCTGATCAATTCAGGTCAAACAAGTAATTACTTATCCACAATTACACAATCCAAAGAAATGTGAAAACTCCTTTGGCAGCAAAACCCATCCTGAACTGATGTGATGCGATTTATAGTCCCTATTTATCCCACTCAGCTCATGAGCCTGGCCTTCAAAGCCATGAATGCTTTGGCCCCAGCCTACTAATGAGCCTCCTACAGGTGCTGTAACCGGCCACACAACCGCTGGCTACTAAAAACAACTGGCCCCAGGCTGGCCCGGTGGCGCACTGCTACAGTGCACCGCTTGGGAGTGTGGCGGCGCTCCCGCCGAGGGTTCAGATCCCACATACAGACCGGCCGCTCACTGGCTGAGTGAGGTGTGGGCGCAACACCGAGGGTTGCGATCCCGTTGCTGGTCCCGGTCCGGTACGGGCGCGACACTGAGGGTTGCGATCCGTTGCCGGACACGAAAAAAAGACAAAAAAAAAGGAAAAAAAAAACTGGCCTGAAGCTGTTCCTGCTTCCTGAAAGGTGCTTCTCCTCCCATATCTAAGGCCTAGCACAGGCCCCACCCTCAACAGGAAGTTTCAAAAATACCTTAATTTATCACCTCCCCTATGATTCCCAAGCACATTTTTGTACCGTTGAGGTATACTTAATACAATCTGAAATTTAGCTATGCATCTCTTTTCTGCACTTGGCTGAGGTTTCTTAGGGAACATAGGCTAAATATTTCATTGTTCCCCCAATTTCTTAACATAGTTCTTTAAACTAAGTGACACCTTTAGGTGACTACTTTGGACCCTAATGATGCTAAACTGACAGATGAATATAATCATATCTGGATTGATACATAGAAATAAACTTTTAAAATCCCTTCCCTTAACAGAAGTGGCCATTGGAGTGCTGGTAGATAGGAGAAAAAGGCAAAGGCAATAAAACAAAAAGCTGGCATAACAACTACTGCAATAAAGAAAGTAGAATGAAGAGGGGGGCAAGGTAAAGACTAGAAAACACAAGCGAATGTATAGTACCAGAAGAATCTTCCAAGCTTGTCAATGACATAAGTTTCTCATTTTCTAATAAGCTAGCATGGCTTAAGTCACTGTTTGGAGTCTTGTCTTCAAAATGTTTTCCAGTATCGGGCACAACAATCTATAAGAAATAAAGTGGCAAATAAGAAAAACACACTCACTGCTTTAAGAGCACAGTACAAAGCTACAAAAAGGACCAAGTATTTTCTCAACCTCCAGTGTGCTCAGTATCTACAGATTGTTTGCACATGCTCAGAGAACCTAAGTAACACAGCATACTAATGCTCACACAACTAAATTTGAGTAAGGCAGGCTTACGATAGAAGTGAAGAACAATGGCAAAATTTGACTCAGAAACCTTTACCTAAGTAACTTTTCATCCATTACACTAGAAAAATTGACTCCTCTGCTCCTCAGCCCCGGGACAGTGTAAAACCTAAAGGACACATAGCAGTTTATTTAGGACACTCAAGGTCCAAAATGAAAATATGACGTTCCCCTCTAAGTGTCAATTTTACTTCACAATAATATTAAATACATACAGTCATGTGTCACATAACATCAGAGATACATTCTAAGAAATGCATTGTTAAGCAACTTTGTCACTGTGCAAACATCACAGAGTGTACTTACATAAACCTAGATGGTAGCACCTACTACACACCTAAGGCCATATGGTATAGGCCCATCACTGACTAAAAAGCTGTTATGTGACACATGACTGTATTAAAACAATTAATAGCAGCTTAAGAATTAGACTGCAAACTGCACGCTAACTTTTAAGATAAGAACATGGGACCTCAATGCAATTTTATACTTATGGAAGACAGTGCTGAGCTATTCTCATAAATATCTGAGGCACCAGGGACACTGAGGGCTACAGTGACCTATGGTTATTTAAACTAGGAACATGGCAAGTATTAACAGCTGTGGAATATAAGCTCTATGTTTTGGAATTTTTCATAATAAAAAACAGGGGGAAAATACGTGTAAGAAAGAACAATATGTAAAACATCACTGCCTTTGTGGTCACATCTGCAATTGAGAACCCCATGTACTCTTCCATACGTGGTGCCTTACACAGAGGCCAAATGAACTAAAGCAACCCTGGGAAATGTCTCTGTTCTGATAAGGTGGTACAACTTTCACAGTTTAGACTTGACAGCCAAGACAGGCAAAGCTAAGTCAAAAAGTCAAATCCAGAGGTAGCTCCCTCTGGTCTCAGTTTCCAAATACATTTATTTTTCCCCCTCCTCTCACTTCCCCTTTTTATCAAGCATCTCTTGTTTCTATACTTGTTTTGTTGCTTTCCAGTTTTACTGTCCACTTCTTTTGCAATCAATTATCTCTAATACTTTTACGAAGTCAATTATTCAACTACCCTAAGAAAAGCAATTACCTTCCATAGGGAAAATTTATGTTCTCTCACTTTAGAAACCACTTTTTCCAAATGTCCTCAAAATAAGTAAGTGAGATATAATTTGTTGTAGGGTAAGAATTAAATTTATTGTTTAAGAAATCACTTTCTGACTTAACTTCACTACATCTGAACTTCCTCTAAAAAGCATCTCCCACACTTGAAACTTACTAGTGGTTACATACAGGGTGAGAATAAAGGGAAGGGTTGACAAACATTTTCGGTAAAGGGCCAGATAGTACTCGTAAATATTTCAGGTGTTGTGAGCTATCCGATCTCTGTCACAACTTCTCAACTCCGCTGTTATATCACAAAACCAGCCATAAACAAAACATAACAAATGCCCAGGTTGTGTTCTAACAGACTTTACTAAAACAGGCAGCAGGGTGGATCTGGACTGTGAGCTCTGGTTTGCTAATCCTGGCATAGAGAAATAACTTTTACTTTAGACCCATCTGCAATCATTTTATAAAATAATCTTTAAAATTCTTATGAAAGTTAAAACAAAAACTGCATCTCCTTTTTATAAGTGTCAAAAGTATTTAGTTTATATTTTTATAAGCAAGTCTCATAAACATAACACAACATGCCTGAAATCCAGGTTCACTGCTTATGTCGGACACAAACTGCTTCTCTGCTCAGCACACCTCCTTTTAAAAAGTTCACCTTTTCTTACTTCATGGGGTCCTGGTGGGTTTGTCAGTCATATTCCTCTATCTGTGAGTGCATATACACTCATGCACAAGCAACACATGAAGTAGAGACAAGATCCAGGCTGATAAATCCCTACCCACTCCTTGACACAGTGATTTCCATAGAGGAGGGCATCTGACCCAAGTGAACTCATCAGACTGTCTTGTCTTTTTTCTTTTTTCTTTTAATTTACCCTAAATGATTATGCTCTTCCTTTTTTGATTACAAACGGTGAGTGTAAAAGCTTGGGTTGTCTACAAATGAAGACAGCTTGCCTATCATTCAACAAATTACTGAGCGACAACTATGTGCCATGAACTGTTTCAGGCACTCAAAATACAATTAAAAATCATACACACATAGAGAAATCCTTGCACTCACAGAGCAAACATTCTAAATGAAGCCAGCACAGAGTGAAGCAGAGCAGAGATGCAAACAGCCCTGACAGCACCACGAAGCCCAGAAAAACAGATCCCTGTGCCAGCACTAACCTCCCATTTTTGCTGCAGCTAGGAAAGCTGGAGTTCTACCATATAGAAGTAGAAGACTTCTAACTAATATTAACACTTATATATGTGAAATATGAACTTTCACTCCCCTATAACACTCCAGAAATTGATAACAAATATATAAAATTTTACCTTGTGTTCCTTATTATTCATCCATGATTGTAAACAAAAATCAACAGGTGAGTCTGTTTAAGAAAACAAAAACGGAGAGGACACATTATTTTATCTACTAATACCCAGTAATACCTAAAAATAGCAAATTAATGAACTAAACATTTAAATAATGTTATAGGAACAAATAAATAATGGTACAGAAATCAAATAATGGTATAGGAATCCATCACTGGTCAGTTAAATTCTTAAAAATGTTAGGGTAGTGAATCATAAAAAAATCACATACTTGCCAAAGAACTTAAGTATGAATCTAACCAAGACTTTAGGGCTGGGCAATTAGCTCACTTGGGAGAACACATGCTGCTAACATCAAGGTCAAGGGTTTGAATCCCCACACCAACCCGCTGCGCTCCCCCCCCCAAAAAAAATACTTTAAAGCTAACTTCTGCTTCGTAGAGGATGTGGAGAAGAGAGAAATAAGAGAAGGGACACTCTGAGAAGCAAACAGACAAACCCCAATACTGGGACAAACTACCAGGTAACTGACTTAACTTATTTTAACAAGGCACTGACATGAGACTACAACTACAAAGTAATATAACGTAACTTTCCTCAGACCTCGATTCAAGCAAATTGATATGGACCTCTGTACTAGATGATAAGAAAAGAATTAAATTTATTAGTTGTGTTAACAGCACTGTGGTTATGTAAGAAAATGTCCATATTTTTAGAAATTTTAACTTAAAAGATATAAATGTGCATTCATTCATCAATCTTATAACACATGATCAAGCAAGACCTTTTGAGTACTGAACTACAGCTTGGAGTTACATGGCATCATACCTATATAAGCCCATACCATATAGTTTTTGATTTACAGTTTTAATTTCTTTGAGGAAAGAAAAAGAATGTAGAGTTCTTAAAAGGAATCAGACAGCAGAAACCTGTATTTTTTAAAAAAAATTTCCCTCCATTTTTATAGTTTCTTCCCCACATCTAATTTGATAGTAATTTTTCAAATGACTCACCTTTGAGTATTTTGAAAGCATTCAACTAGGTTTTCTTAAAAATGTTCATTTCTTTTAGAATTTATGAGTCACCAGTTATATAAAAGTAAGTTTAGAAACAAAAATGACTCTTGATAAGAATACACATTAACAGCTGGGAAGAAACATGAAAGATGTACTAGAAATAGGCTTCTTGTCTTGAACATAAAGCATGCTGTGGCAATCCAACAGCACCATTTCCAAAGAACAGGAGATTTCACATAAATCAGTCAAGACAGTTAAGAGACGTTTTCCTACGGAAGTACTGTAAATATGATATTAATAGGTACGTGACAAACCAAAGCATTTTCAGTCTGCTATATGATAGCATAAGATAAATACCAGTCCAAAGATGGCAAAATGAAAAAGAAATTAAAATATATACATTAAGAAATAATTTCTAATAGTATAGTACCTTGTATTTGGTCCAGTGGCAAAACCCTATCAAAAAGATCTCGGCCCTGAAAGGATCCTGTAGTTTTAGCTCGCTCCTCTTCGGTTCTTGCTACATCACTTTGAAAAGCTAACTGTTTCATGACAGCATTTGACAAATGTTGACTTTTCATATAGTCCTTTTTCCTAGAGATAGAACTTTTATTAGGGAACAAAATAATAATATGTTAGCTACCTTGGGTAAATCTTTACGATATCTATTAATCAGTTATGCACAGACAGCCCCTGACTTATGATGGCTCGATTTTCAACTTTGTGATGGTACAAAAGAGATACACATTCACTAGAAACCATACATCGAGTACCCATATGACCATTCAGTTTTTCACTTTCAGTACGGTATTCAATACATTACATGAGATATTCCACACTTTATTACAAAACAGGCTTCGTGTTAGATGATTCTGCCCAACTGTAGGCTAATATAAGTGTTCTGAGAATACTTAAGGTAGGCTAGACCGAGCTATCTATGATGTTTGATAGGTCAGGTATATTAAATGCATCTTCTGCTTAAATATTTTCAACTTACAATGGGTTTATTGAGACATAACCCCATCCTAAGTCAAGGAGCATCTGTATTTAATCTCTCAAAAAGAAAAAAATGAATGCAGTGAAAACAAACATTTCTGGGTCCAGCCAGCAACTACAGTCTGTAAACACTGTTCGGTATTCTGAGGACTGAACCAACATTTTTGGTCCAGTGATGAGAATGTCATATTGCTACTCTGCCTTTCGAGTGATAAAATGAGTTTTTCTTCTCCCTACTTTTCTATCTACCTCTGCTATTTTACATGTGGATAAAAATATTTTTCCTTAAAGGCAATTCCCCCCCCAAACTACTACAAAAGTTCTTGAGTCGGCAGCAGCTCACCATAGTAAGAGAAGGGGTGGGAATGGAATGTCAGAAAAAAATCTCCAAATGCAACAAATTCATCATTTGACAAACTAATAACAAGGCTTAGATTCAGCCAGGATGGATGAAAAGAAAATAGCCCTTCCATATTTCCCAAATCCCAATCTTCTGTGCCTGAAGCAATTCTCCAACCCTAACTACAAGTTATTTCCCAGTTTATCCATCTCTTTATTGAGACTGTGGCACATAAAAAACCATTAGTTTAAGTCAAAGGTGCACTCACTGGTAGGTACAGGAAAATTTCACCGAGTAAAAGAGAGAAGGGGTAGATAGAAAGACTATAAAATGGATACAAAGTCAAAGGTAAAAAGGACAGAAAAAAAAGGGGTGGAGGTGGGGGCAAGATGGTGATACAAAATAAATCAAAAACAAGTCAGGACATTTAATTTTCATGTTTTAAAGTCCTCCCCTGATAAAAGCATATAGTATGACCATTAGAACTCTAGGATACTAAAGACAGTTGAGGGCAGGGCTCTCTAAATTAATCACACCACCACCACCACCTCTTAAAAAAAAAATCAACTTCCTCACAACTGTAGCCATCCCTTGTTTTTACTAGCCCATGAAAATTTTTCAAAATAAGTCACAAGCTTCAAGTTAAAGTGGCAGAAGCAACTTCCCGGAGTCCATTAAAATGATGGCAGGGAAATCTACAAAAGAGAAGCAACTGAATGAGAACCACCAATCCCACTGGGCAGCCTAGAACAGAGCATTAAACATTTGGCACAAATTTAAGACTCCCAAACTGCTAACTCTAAAATCAAGTCAGCCAGGAATGATGGCCCCCTCAAGAGGAGGCCTAATGGAAATGAGACCTATGTATGCAACAGCCAAGGATGCCCACACGTACAGCTTAGAAGACAGCCACAAATCAGACACGAGGAGAAGAGGAGCAGCTCAAAGACAAAAATAAAGATGAACAAACTAAACAACCACAGAGACAAGAAATAATTTACAGAACTTTGAAAATGTTCTAATTAAAATCCTCAGAAATGTTCAAGTAGCTATTACATCCACAAAAAAGGGCCATTAAAAAAATGAAAGACCAAAAAAGAGCTCTCAAGATTAAAATTACAAGTGCCAAATGATTTAATACAGAATAAGAAAAAAATTAGAAACTTACACAGAACATTGTCTTTCTGCACTAAAACAGAAAAAAAATTTTTTTTTAAAAATAGGAAAAGACCAACCCAGGCAACCCAAAATACCAATTCCATAAAAAGAGAGAAAAATAGAACAAAACGGCCAAAAGAAATAATAATTATCTAGAACTAAAGCATGCAAATCTCCAGATTGATACAAATTACAATTTAGCGAGTGGGGAAAAATACCCCCACCCACAAAGGACTTAGAGAGGATTCTAAAAGTTTCCAGAGAGAAAAAATAGTTCAGATATAAAAGATCATGGATCAAAATGACATAAGGCTCATCACACAATTGCAGCAATGCCTTCAAAATTTTGTGAAAGATTATTTCCATCTTTAAATTCTATACTCAGCTAAAGTCTCAATTAATTCCAAGGTTAGAATAAAGACTTTCTGATACACATAAACTCCCTCCTCCCCCAGAAGGGGTCAAAGAGGCACACGGGGACTAAGGCCATGCTTCTTCAGGCTGTCAACCCCACACTCAGATTAACAGGGGTTGAGGGACAGCACCGAGCACTCAACCTCTCCCTGACAGCAGTGAGAAGTGAGCCATACACTGTGTCTGAGATTCCACCAAACCAGGCTGACAGCACACTCTTCAGACCTCCTCGCCTCACCAAGAGGGTCCCAAGGTACCCCAGCCCTCCCCACATTTGCAGTCTCATCACCAACATCTGCCGGGTGGGACTAACTTGATAACGCTCTTTACCTACTGATTTCAGTTCCTATGACAGGCTCAGGACTCCACACTGCTGGCACCCTAAGCCCCAGGGGACTGCACATCCCCTCTCCCAACTCAACAAACAGAGCCCTTGTACTGTACCAGCAAGATCTGCTGTTCCTGAACCCTTTCTCGGACCATTCCTTTCACCTTACTGCTTAACGAAAGCCTGAATATCCTGTGAGGACACTGCTTTCCCTAAGCTCTGCCAAATGGGAACTCGTCTCTCCCACAGTGTTGGTACCGATGGCATTGAGGTGGAATACGTATGCCCTCCTGCCCCTCAGGAACACTTCCAGATCACTCTCCCCAGAGCCTCACAGCTTTGAATACCTACCACCCCTAAAGTCCTCTGCCTCTAGTACCATAACTCTATATCCTGACCCCAC